ATAGAGTACAAACATGTGTCAACAGGTCTTGTCTGTAGCAGGTCTGTAGTTTGGCATTACGCTCTTTATTCAGAAAGGAATGGGCAGGAGATGACAGAGGGCTGAGGCGGTTATGGGCATGGAATGAATAAGTAAGAATGTAAAATTATGTGTTTTGATTTTTATTTTTATTTTCAAAAAAATGTTAACTTGATAATGTATTCATAATCTTCTCTGCTTATGACACACACAAAAATGAGTGCTTGCCTTCTGAAGCCCTCATCTGGCAGCCAAAGATAGCAGATTTCTAAGGGCATTTTTTATGCTGCTTTGATAGTGAGAGAAAAATATACAGAGCAGCAAAATGACATTTTTCTATAAATTTCACAGTGCTCAGCAGGCATGCGAGTATGGCAGCATTCATTAAGATTAGTTAGAATTACTTAAGCACCGTGAATTTTCTCTATCAAGCTGGTAACTGGGACACTGCGGATTAGTTATTGATCAGCCACTGTTAATACTCAGAGCTCTTTCCATGCCTGTTGTTGTGGGGAGTGGGAGTGGGGGACGCCGTCTCGCGAAGCTGAAGCTGTGAAATTCACAAATTAAACAGACTCTCTTCATTCTCCCTTTTGTTTCTAGAACAGACAAAAAAGGCGGGGGGAGAATGAGAATTAATGTGTTGCCTCAAATATTTTCTCTCTTCCCAGGCTCAGCAAATTTCTTCAGCCCTCACAACAGAGCAGGGCATTTCAAAATGGCTCCTACCAGCCAAGCCAGTCCTACCATTTGGTGGAGTAAAGCAGATGCCTTGGGGAGCTGGTTTGGGGCATTGTGAAAAGGTAGCAAATTCTTCATTTATTATTGAATTTTTATCCCCAGAGAGAGGTGCTTGTAGAAATGTCTGCCTTGGCTGCCAGAATAACTTATCAAGTCTTGGGTTCTGTGTGCCTGGAGGATGGGAAGGCACATGCTGTTCCACCTCAGGCAGCAAAAGATTAGTGGCCAGAGGGGTGGGCTGGCAATGTGCACAAGACCTCCCAGCACTGATGTTGCTGTGGCTTACCAGGAAGGAGAGGGGCAAGATAGTGAGGAGGTCAGTGCTACACCACACAACAGTGAAAACAACCCAGACCTTTGGCTGGTACATCCACATAGCACTAACCTCCGCATTGCCTTGTCTCTGCCTTCCAGCAAGCTGCAGTGACACTGCTGCTGGGAGGCTAGATGCATGCTGCTATCCATCCTTGCCAGCCACTATTGCAGCAAAACGTATTGAGGCACTTCAAGATAAGTTAGCAAACATTGCTTGAGGATGAGGAGAACACTATTGCTTAAAGTAGTCATAAGCTTAAGGCGGCTAGTAGGAACCCAATACTACTCCACTGCAATGACTGCCGTGCCTCTTCCAGGCTGCTGCGACACTGTTCTAAACGTTGCAACCCTGTTTCACGGCTTTCACTGTTGTGTACTGTCTCTGTCTGATCCCTGAAAGATGTGGATTGGAAAGGCAATAGCACAATAGCAGAAGATATGTTCTATGTGCCTAAGGTTTAATCTCCAGTGTTTTCAGTTGAAGGGTCTCAACAAGGCTAAAACCTCTGTTTGAGATCTGCCAGGTAGAAGAAGCAACAATGGGATACATCAAACAATAATTTGACTCAGCAGATGACAGCCATATACTGTATGTTCACATGATTCTAACTCTGCATAGCAGGAACAGTCAGTTGTGGTAATGAATATTAATTGACCCTCATTTGGGGGAGAGGCTATAACTCAGTGATAGATCATATGCTCTAGGTTCAGTTCCTGGAATATTCAGTCAGTGTGGACAATATGAAGCTAGATGATCAGGCTATGTATGGAGAAATGTCATGTGTTCAAATTATGTGAAACTGTCCATTAGGGTTTTAAGGAAAGAGGGAGTAAGCCGCTGTTGATGAACCCTCAGTGCTGGGGTAACCAAGAGCACACTGGCCAACACTGGGATGTTCATCCCACTGAAACGAACAATGAGATGTACATTGAGATGTATGTCCCAATGAGAGGGAATGTCAACATGTTCTCTAGGCATTTTCTTCTCCCTCACCAAAAGACAGATTGGGTGAAATAGCTGCAGACAGCTAAGAAATAATGCAAGTAGGCGATTTTCACAAACATTTTTTACGCACCCCAAGTTTGGGCACAAATATTGAACCTCATGAAAATTCAGTGCAGATTCTTATAGTCAGAACAGAAGAACCAAGAATTGTCAGAGGGGAAAGATCATCTTATTTCTCCTATATGATCTTTTCTGCTCTGGGTATAGCATGCAAAATTATTCTATAATCATATAGACCTGGAAAGATATTACATCAGATTTGGTCAACCACACAATTTATCTAGAGAATGATGTCAGCAGGTTGTTTTATCCCTGCAGGAAGCCTCTATTTCATGATCTGGCATCAGCAAAGTTGCATGGGAATCAAATTCCAAGGTAATGTTTTCATCCATGAGGAGTCATGCAAACACTTTTAAAAAGTGCCAAGTATTCTATCAGAATTCATGCAGTTCGGTGTATATATTTTTAAAAATGGAAACTTGTAAATGAGAAAAAGAATTGGCAAGAGACAGAGAAAGCCATACATTCATGTATTATTCTATAATTAATCCCCAATGCAAGATAAAAGTTAAGGGCAGCATAGGGATGGAAGGCTATGTGAAATTCATTTCTTTCAGTTTTTCATTTTTCCAATCTTAAATTCATTTCCCCACATTTCTGCAGGAGCTGTTACTGGGTGGAGCCAGTGCTGATGCTAGGTAGTGCTAGGGCTGTGTCTCACTTTAAAGTAGTCCATTTTCTCTCTGTCTCTCAAGTACTTATGAAACAGAAGTTTGTCTCTGTCTTTGTCGGATGGTTGGAACTCCAGTTGGCTAGAAAGCGCCTTCAAGGAAAGTAGGACCCAAGGAAAAGGGAAAGTTCATACTGTTGGGCTCCACTTCACAAATGGTCTCCAGTGATCCCATCTAGCTTGTCTCCTTAATGGGAAGGCTGGGTGGGGCAGGGAGAGTGTATAATGTTGGGTGCTGCTACTCTAAGGAGCAAAGCTGACAGCACATGGGTGGTGGAATTCATAGAACAGAAAGATCCTGTATACCCTGGGTGCCTATTTATAAAATGGAAGAAGACTCTGTTTGAACAATTCATCACTCTAGGTAGAACCAAAATGATGAGATGATTCTCACAAGCAGCTAAGGGACACTTTTTTCCTCCAAAGGTACTTTGCTGTCATCCTTTCTACTGGACTTTATTAGCTCCATCTTGGGCACCTTGCAAATGTAACTTGCAAAAAATGAATGGAATTGCAGGGTGGGACCACTTCCTTCTATCCCTCTCCCCTTCCCCCACAAAACACACACACGTCTCCATCTGCAGAAAGATCCTGAGTGAATTGCAGATAAGGTAATGCAGGATAGCTTCTAAAGGAGATCAAATACTATTATTATCGCTCTCTTGCTAAAATGGCTTGTATCCGTAATGTAACTTTCTTTTCATGAAGGTCAACCAAGCCATTACAGAAATGAATGGAGGCACTGTGGGCTTCTCTTGGCTAAACAAGAATGCCTTGCCCTGAGCTTTGCAACAATGAGGAGCCATCATGCTGAAGGTTTCTGTTTCCTTAAGGGCATGAGAGCCAATACATCATTAACTAAACACAGAAGTCAGAGGTCTCCACTTATATTTTTCTCATTTTAAATGACTATTTAAGGAAGGAGAATGGAGGAGGAAATGCTGATGTGGATGAGAAAAATGAAACAATTCACCTACATGCCAAAAGGTTTAAATGCAACTGTTTGATTCTCCATGGACCCATTAAGGCTTCAGGAATTCAGCAACATCCCATTTCGTGGCTGGATAAATAGGTGCTCAAGCACACAGAGGAGAAAAGCTATGAACAAGACCTCAAGGCAGTGCTCACTTCATGACCCTTCGAGGGCTCTTAAAACCTGCTATAGTGGTGCAGCTAAAGAATACTGTGATTGGGCACAGAAGTGGTTCACCAGGTGGGGCAGAGCTGCTATGCTAGCTTCCTGGCAGGTGAGTCACTGTTGCTTACTAGGAGAGGTGAAGTGGAGGGGAGATCTGCGTGGTGCAAACCAGGCCCACCAGCTTGGCCCCGGGACCGTGGGTGGCCGGGGCTGCACATGCCATGGGCGTGTGGGCATCTGACATTGGACGAGCACATCGGTGGGTGTGCTGACGTTGGACGTGCATGCTGCCACAGCGTGCATGGCCCCAACACAAAAAGTTGTGGGTGCCCAGCCCTGTCATGGGAAATGTTGTGGGAGCGGGAGTACCCACAGCCCTGCACGCTCGGCGCTTATGGTGCAAACACAGCAGCAGAGCCCATCTGGAGCTCTTGCTCCTGTGTTGGACCAGCACCAAACTCCCCAGTGCCTCACTTTTCCACCTCCCTGTAAGCAACAGCAACCCACCTGCCAGGAAACCAGCACAGTGATTTTACCCTACATGGCAATCTGCTTTTCTTGGGGTGTAAATAACCGCAGAGTCAAGTCCATGCTCACCTACAGTAAGTAGGCAAGTCATTCTTTCTTAGCGTAAGGACCACCACAGACCAAAGAAACAGGTTAAGGCATGTTCCCAGTGCCATGACAGTCTCTTTTTCCATGTATGTGTATATGTAGCATATCAGCAAACCAAACAAATATATGATTGTTCTTCGCCATTGGCTAACTGGCTTGGTCACTGCCCTTTCCTCCACTCAGAAGCAAAGCACTCCACAGCTTGATGCTTGAGATAGAGTAACTCTGCTTCCATTGCAGGCACAAATGGTGGGCCATTTCCCCCCTAATAGGAGTGGGTGGTATCAGTAGTGAGAGGCCAGAGGCATGAGCGGAGGGCAGACAGTGGGGCGGGTGTGCCCTGCAGGTAAGATGGAAATGGCGCAACCTCTTCCATTCTCAGGCAATGACTAGGGGGTGGGGGAAAAGAGAAGGAGGTGCTGGTTATCAGTGGATTTCTGGTCATGCCACTTGCAGGTTCCTCCCCTCCCAATTTTATTTGTATGCTTCTTTTCCACATAAAAGAATCGTGCTCAGAGTAGCTTACAACAAAGAAAACACAAATGCATTTCAAACAAACACAGTTTTACATGTCTTTATTCAGAAGAGAGGAAGGGAGAGGACTACTGTGCTTGGGTCCTCCTTGGGGGTTTCCCAATAGAGCATCTGACTGGCAACTGTCAGAACAGGATGCTGAACTAGATGGCTCTTCTTTTGTTCTAAGTATTCCATCTCATACCTGCATTTAAAAATAAAAATAAATCCATAGAGGATTTATATTTAAATAGCTATTTTGAATGTGTTTTCTCGCAGAATACATCTTTCTAAATTTATTTGATTCTAAAATACAATGTTTATATGGATTTGGGTACTTTTTTGTCTGTGTCTTCTTTATGCTCTACTTTCTTTTACACAGAGGCCTTAAGATTCACTCTTAGCTTAGCCTTAGAGGAAGGATGAGTCATCTTCCAAAAGCTGATGCCCTTGACATTCCAGGGCTGAAAGTGAACCCATCACACTAATTATTGGTTCAATAAAGAGACATCCATCACCCCATCCTGAGGCATATACCTGCAATTTCCATAACAAAACTGTGATTGGCTACAGCTGGAGATGTAGGGAGAGAGGGGTGGTCTCTGCTCCCTCCATCACCCAAAACATAGACAGAAACCTGCTATTTGTTTTAGTTCTGTGCTTGCTGGATACAAGACAGACAACCCAAACAAACTTCTGCCTCTCTCTTCTAGAGAGGGATGGTACAGATACATTGGTTAGTCTCTGCACCTGCCAGGGGGTTGGAGGACTTCAGAACCCCGTGCAGATACTTATCCGACATCATAGCATGCTATTTGTCCATGGTCTCTGATTTCTCCAGCTTTTCTGTGGCATCTCTCCCTTGAGATCATAGATACATCCTGTGTTTCAAAAATGTGGATCTAACTCAAGCCATTCCAAGAGGGTTGCACAAACTACTTGAGCAATGCAATCTTTTTTTAATATATATTTTTAAAATTAAAACAGGAAGGAGTGATTTAAAAACAAACAAACACCGAAACCCAAAGGACCTTCAGCTGTCCCACTTCTTCAACAAAAAGCCTTTCTAGTTTTTTCTAGTGACATCTTGCTTGTGGCTATTTGCAGAATACATCTCCTGGTTTATGTTGCTAACAGGGCATTTCTATAAATGTCTACTCAGAAGTATGATCCACTGAGTTCGATGCAGCTTACTCCAAGGTAAGTAACAAACTGCAGCCTTAAAGATTACCTCATTTTGCTTTTGTTCACATTCAGCAGTGAAATATCGTATTCCTAAATACCTGTGCTCTAAAACAAGGAAGTGTTTTTCAATGTATGCTGAAAAATGTTACGGCATTATGCATTGCCTAGCGAGGAATAAAAATCAAGTTAGCAGAGAATCCCTGTGTTTGGTTTTCATTATTTACAAATTCTGCAACTCAGCTATCTCCAGCTCTTAGTTATTCTTCTTCACTTTCTGCTGGGAGGTAAAATGTATCAGAATCCTGTTTTCTCCTTTTAACTCCAATGGACCTCAATGAAGAATTAAGTTGAGGATGGCTTCATGAAATTTTACACACACACACACACACACACACACACACACACACTTTTTCAGTGTGTGGAGGAGGGAGTTCATAAGTTGGATACTGGATACCTGATCACTTGTGTGCACAACTCTTTCCTGAATGATTTAATAGGCCATTCTACCAGGACATTTTCACCTAAATGACTCCACATGATACTGAGGCAAATGTAATGTTCAAAAAGGCTTCATTTTCTCATTTCTGTAGTGCTTTGTGCCCATAAAGTATTTTCAGGATCATCACAAATGGAGACATGAAATGCTTCACACACTCGGAATAGAGTCCAGAAATTTTGGGAACCACAGAAACTACATTTCCTATTGTTTCCAGCATCTCTAAACGTGGTTGCAAATGCTCACAGCTGTGTCTAGGCGTAGCGCAACCCCCCATTTTCACCCTTTACCCCTGCAGTGCTAACTTCAGGAAAAGGAGGCAACAAAAACAGATGCTGAGGCGGATAACACAAAGAGATTCAGCTAGGACTTTTTGGAGTCATGCTCCAGTTACAACTGGATCCAGAGAGCAGACTATCCAAGTGCCCCTATTTTCCAGGAACAGTCCTGGATTTACAGAAGCCATCCAGGTTTCTGATTTGACCCTGGAATATCCTGCTTTTCCTTAGGACATCCCTATTTTCATCAGAGAAATGTTGGAGGGTATGAGAGTGTCCAGCCCTCATCCTTTATGATTCTGCATCTTCAACAGGGTAGATTGATATGAGGTACTCCAAGTCTGAGATAAAAATTTGCTGGGTATGGTGGTTGAGAGATCTGGGGTTCTGATTTGATAGTTATCTTTTAGGTGTCAATTCATAAAATTAGTAAAGGTAAACTGACTGTTAGGTCCAATCGCAGACAACTCTGGAGTTGCGCGCTTATCTTGCTCTATAGGTCGAGGGAGCCAGCGTTTGTCCGCAGACAGCTTCCAGTTCATGTGGCCAGAATGACTACTGAGCCGCTTCTGACGAACCAGAGCAGTACACAGAAATGCTGTTTACCTTCCCGCTGGAGCGGTACCTATTTATCTACTTATCAGACAGCTTTCCAGGTCATGTGGCCAGCATGACTAAACCACTACTGGCACAACAGAACACCGTGACGGAAACCAGAGCGCACAGAAATGCTGTTTACCTTCCCACCGCAGCGGTACCTATTTATCTACTTGCACTTTGACGTGCTTTCAAACTGCTGGGGGAAAATAGATATGCATTTTGATATACCGGGGTGGGAGAGAGACCATGGTATAACACCCTGAAACAAAGTGAAGAGATTTGTGTTGCAGTGTTATGGAGATTGCTTTTTCAATTCTCACTTCCTAGATATGTGCTTACTTTAGTTTGAGCATGTTGTGGCTGGTAGATAGGAACATTTGTGTGGCAGGGCTAGCTTAACCTCAAGCACACTGCTATAGAGTTCAGATGAGAGAGAAATGTGGTTTGGTTTGCATTTTTATGCGGACCTACCTAATTCACACTTCCCAAAACAATACAGGAGCCTCAAAAATTGCACTTCTCTGAATTTTGCAGTGAAGCTCTCCAACCAAGCTGTGTGTACATAAATGTGTTGTGTTAGGGGAAAGTGTGTATAAAAATGCAAGCATTCAGTGAAAATAAAATACAAAATGGATTATATTAAGGAAGATTGCATGCAAACTCTTTCTATCAAGTATAATTGCCCACAAAATGTGGAGAAAATCTGAACTAAAATGCACAAAAATTCCCATTACCTTTTTTTTAATAATAAAAAAATGCAAACTGATGCAAAAATGTGGAGACATGAAGTAATGAGGAACAGAAACTGAAATGGACAGATTTTTCCATCCCTGCTGTGGGCTTCAAAGCTAAAAGAAACTGTCAATCCAAACATCCAAAGCACAACAAAATAAGGGGCAAAGAGGGGTGTAATAATACTTGGCTGGACATTAAATGGCACAGGGAGCTAACGTGCAGATTGTACTGGTCACTTTATATGATCTATAATAAAACCAATTTTGATTTAGACAAGTTGTCATGGACAAATTGCAAGACTGGAGAGACCTTGAATGCCCAGACCTTCCTATGCCATCAAGGCCAGGTGTGTTGTAAGTGAAGATGGGATTGTCTGTGACATGCTTCTCTCCAGTTTGTTCATGACCTTTTCAGCAGAACGCTCCACTTTGTATATTTCTGTAGTTACCTCTGACCTCTTCAGATGTAGTCACTAAATGAGTTTTGTATAAGACCAAACACAATTTTTTCTCCATTTGTATTCCGCACGCATGCCAACAAATTCTGATAAGCCCCATGCCCTCACACTGTTTCATTTGTATGTGCTTAATCTGCCTTTATCCTATTTGATGGAGCATCTTCTTTAAATTGATTCAGGCACCAGCGTAGTAGGGACTTTGCATAGATTTTGCATGCATGACATTTCTGCACAGTTGGGTCGTATTATACACCTAACTGAGCATATTCTACACATAAAATTCCATATTCAAAAGAAAAACCGAGTAGAATCAAATGGCAGGTGGAGGGAAGTGTGATAATGCTGGCTGTTACTTGATTCTTAGGCATGATCTTTTGTTACTGATTAATATTTAAACTTTCTGGATTCAACATGCAACACCTTTTGACCATTTTTTGTCCTTACAGTCGGTCTAGGCCTCCAGATGTTTAACAAAACCGCAGTTCCCATCCTCCCTGACCACCGGCCATGCTGTCTGGAGCTGCTAGGAATTGTAGATTCAGCAACATCTGGAGGGCACCATGTTGGCTACCCCTGAAATAAGTAGTTCCTCCCTGGCCCTCTTTCCTGGAATTCACTATAACCTGGATAGCTCCATTGGTTAGAGTGTGGTAATGGCAAGGTTGCAAGTTTGATCCCTGTATAGGATAGCTTCATATTCCTGCATTGCAGGGGGTTGGTTGGACTAGATCAGCAGTTCTCGACCTGTGGGTCCCCAGATGTTGTTGGACTACAACTCCCATCATCCTTGAGCTCTGGCCTTGCTAGCTAGGGGTGATGGGAGTTGTAGTTCAACAACATCTGGGGGCCCACAGGTTGAGAAAGGCTGGACTAGATGATCCTCAGGGTCCTTTCCAACTCTACAATTCTATGATTATGAACTGATGGATAAAGGGGATTTATGGAGTGCTAGTCATGATGACTAACTCCATTTATCAGAGGCAATATGTCTCCGAAGACCAGTTGCTGGGGAACAGCATCAGAGCTTTATTGCCTTCATGTCCTGCTTGCAAATTTCCCATTAGGAACTGGTTGGCCACTGTGAGAAAAGGATGCTGAACTAGACGGCCCTTTGGGTTCTTATGAATCTAGCAGGGTTCTTACGAATGGTCTCCAACTGCTTGTTTTTAGTCAGGAGGAAAAGACACACATAACCATTTATGGTTCCTTTGCAAGGATACAAAGTGTGATACTTCTCAGACCCATGATACTGTACACCTACACTTCAATATGATCTGACCATGAGAGGCATCTTCCAATTCCAGCTGCAACACACTGGTCAAGGATCACATTGCATGGTCATCATTCTAGGTGCACATCAGAGGAAGCCCTGTGGAATTCAGCCGGACTTATATCCAAGTGAATACATGCAGCATCAGCAGTTGCCCATGAAACAGAGCACTAAGTGAAACTGCCTGCAGCCATGTGATGCAATTCAGAATGGGTGATTGTCAACCTCACCTATGCACTCTGGTAAGTGGCAAGGAAGGTGATTCTTTGTGGAGGGTGCTGAGTCAACCCCATGCAACCAAAAGTTGCTGACATCAGCAGGGGTGACTGTTCAGACAGCAACTGTGCATACGCCTGGTACTAGCTGCCCCCCAGCCATTCAATATAACTGTAGGATATTGATTCAATAGCCATGGAACCACCAGTGGATTCCCCTAGCTAACACCCTAACCAGCCACTGCAGTACAGGATCTGGCTGCAATGCTATGCCTACTTCCTTGGGAATAAGACATGTTTACCCTTGCATCTCGGTATATAATACAATGGACGCTCGGGTTGCGAAGGTGATCCGTGCGGGAGGCACGGTCGCAACCCGCAGTGTTCACAACCCGCAACACTGCATATGCGTATGCGCGGGTTGCGATTTGGCGCTTCTGCGTGTGTGCAACCGCCAAAACCCGGAAGTAACCCGTTCGGGTACTTCTGGGTTTCAGCGGGTCTGTAACCCAAAAAAACGCAACCTGAAGCTTCTGTAACCCGAGGTATGACTGTATATGCAGTATATAATATGCATCAGATGGCTTTGTCCATCAGCTTAAATCCAGGCACTCAGGCTTGCACTGATATGTGAGCCAGGCTGTTAATTACCTGATGTTGCTTTGTGGGTCTGCCTTAATAGCACAGCAATTGTACCTGCAGCAGTTCCAATTATAAATGAGAGAAAGTAAAGAAAAAAGAATCTGATGAATCCATGGATTGGCTAAAGAATTATTAATATGAAAGTGCTAAAGAGCTGGAGCAACATCTGCCCTTCATAACACGAAGGCCTTGGTTGTGAGGTGGGAGAAACAGTTACACTTACCAACAAAAGTTGTGCAAATCTTAGTGAGTTGCAGAAAATTCCAGTGGAGGATTTCAATGTGCCTGGCAAGTGAAGAGGAGTCAGAGGCTGACATTAAAGGGGCTTCACGCAGCCTGAAGAAAAAAAATGGATTAATATATGCTTTATGCTGCAGCGAATTCTAAGCAGCAGCATTTTTGATGAGCTGAAGAATGCTAATTTGAAGAATTCATCAAGAAAATGTATTGATCAATATTTTATTAGCAGGGATTAATATTTCCTATAAGGGGAGTTAATGATTAACAATATTATGCCTATGTCGGGGGCAGAAGAGAATTTAGAAGCTGAGGACTTATGCTGCTATCATAGTTTCAAACTCTTGTGTAAAAATGCAAGCAGCAAGTTAATAGAAAAAAGATACACCCTGGAGTTAAAAAAAAAGCAAACAATCCAACAAGAATCCTCAATGCCTTTTGGTAGCCACATTCATTTAGGATACCCCCCTCCTGCAGCTGATTCTCAGGCACAGTATTACATGCAGTAAAACCAGGTAGAAGCTGGAGAGAGGAGTGCCAAGATGGCAGAATGAACTGTACCACTTCAGGCAGTAGATGGGGGAATGTTTTTTGATGCTTCTCCACATAAAAACTCCCAATAAATAGAAGCACAACATGGATAAAGGTTTTCTATATTGGTCCCCAAGCAAGGGAGGCCAAGAATAGCCCTGGGGTAGAGGGTCATCCCCCCACCACCACTGGCTAGCACACTACCTCAGATTCCTATCTCAAGTCCAGCTCTGCTTTGCTTAGGAGTAAGGCTCTTAAAGTTTGCTAGAGAGAACATTTTCAAAGCAATCAAATGACATTCGAATAGATAAATACTCTTTCAAAGATGTGACAAATATATGTATTTTGCTGAGATTAATTTCTCTACTGAAGTTCTTTCATTTATCTCACAAGAATTTTCAAAGTCTCTTCTATCAGAATAAAAGCCAAAGATTAAAGTCTTTATTTATATAACTGATATAAGAGGTTCCAGATGCAAAGAGAGAGAAGTTTCAGTTCGGGTCTTGTTTTTAATGTTTTAGGTTTTGTTTTAACATTCTCTCTCCCAAGCTTATGTCCACCGATGAATTCAAGTGAACAAGGAACATCCTAAAATTAATCTTTTGAGGAGTCTCAACGCTTTTGTTAAATGCAAAATTTCAGAAAGCTCTATATAATATCTCCCACTGGTCACAAGAAACAACCAGCATTGATCTTACAAGTTTGTAGATGTGGAGTGTTCAGTACACTAACTTCTTCCACATCACTCACACTCACCTGTTGGTATAGCTATGGTGTACATTCCTTTTCATTTCTAGTATTCGGTTGCCAGATGTGATGCATGAGTGTTACTTACCTTCTGTTGGTAAAAGAATTAACTCAACTAGGCATGTGCAATCCCTCCCAGTAAAATAACTTTTGCTAGTCTTACTGAGGCCACACTGACACCAACAGCACTACGATGTCTCGTAAAACAGGCATGACTTCCCCCAAAGAATTCTGGGAGCTGTGGTTTGTTCTGGATGCTCATTGTTGCTAGGAGACCTTTATTCCACTTCCAGGGCTACTATTCCCAGAGTTCTCTGTGGGCTGGTTGCTGATCCCCCCCCCCGGGGGGGAAGTTATAGCCTTAGATTCCTCATTATGGTGAACAGACAAGCAGCGAGCATCATTTTTATACAGAGTGGCCTGAAACCTGAAACACACATCAAAGTGGAAAGAGCACAGAGCAAGTCAGAAACAGACTGGAATTTGTAAAATGCACATTACAGAAACAAGGCAAATCTGTGATGTGTCCTAGATCTAAATACTTTCCTTAATTTCTTTTGAGGGATAACTTTCAGCTGCAAGCATCTGCGATTCTTTTGTCCCACTCTGAATCAAAAGGTTACAGACTTACATTAAAACTTGTGAAGTGATGGAGCCTGGAGGAACAAAAAGGGATTCCAGTCACTGAATGTTACGGGTAGGATGGTGGTGTGGAAAAGGGGACAGGGCTTCTCCACTTTTAATTGGTAGTAGGGGAAGCAAGCAGCACAGCATAGTCTGGGATCACTTTGAGGTAGCAACCCAGCAATACTGTTTGCCTGCGTTGTAGGAAACAACTGAGCAGAGGAAAGGTTCCAGAGCATTACACCAGCAGCAGCCGCCTCATGTGGACAACTCCAGTCCCTGTTGTTTAGGAAAGAGTGAAGGAATGACAAGAGGGCAGGGCAGATTCAAAGTGAGAAGGACCCCTCTAACTCTCAAGCTCTCCCCCGCCCCCCATAACAAGTGGTCAAAGCAGCTTAGGGGGGTGTCTATGGTGTATGGAGAGTATAGATCCATAAAATGGAAGTTCCCAAAGCTCACATGAGCCCACTCCTCAAATCACAACACTTTATGTGCTTCCTTCTGTGCAATACTACCTCTGCAATACTACCTATTCAATGCCATTGAGATGGAGCTTGCAAACTAGCAAATAAATCACAAGGAGGAAAGCAAACCCCTTTAAGTCTCCTCCCCAAATCAAATTCAAAAGTGCCTTCTTCTTTTACCTAGAAACATCTCTGTCATACCTGCTATTTTCAGACCAATTGCCCACAAAACACTAGAGAAGATAAACTGATTTCATTTTTTCCCATCCCAAAATGGTTATGGCTGCTTTACTGGATAATCATTGCCACTAGATTCATCTCCCCAGAAGGATCTACCATGACTGCAAATTTCATCAAATTCTACCCCAAAGTAAAAGAACAAAATACAGTGGTACCTCAGGTTAAGAACTTAATTCGTTCTGGAGGTCCGTCCTTAACCTGAAACTGTTCTTAACCTGACGAACCACTTTAGCTAATGGGGCCTCCTTCTGCTGCTGCTGCTGCTGCTGCCAGAGCACGATTTCTGTTCTCATCCTGAAGCAAAGTTCTTAACCCGAGGTACTATTTCTGGGTTAGCGGAGTCTGTAACCTGAAGCGTCTGTAACCTGAAGCATCTGTAACCCAAGGTACTACTGTAGTGAGAAATGTTTCCTTTTTAAATAGCACTGCCAAAATAGTTTAAAAAAGCCTAGCACAAACAACCTCTAGACCTATTTAACTGTAAGCTGGCAGGCGTTATTTACTCTAGAAAGGCCACTATGTCTACAAATTCCATCCATTTCTGCAGCCAGATTTTTTATTTCCCAATAAGCATGGGGGGCGGGGAACAAAGCCTCATTTTTCCCCAGAGGGGCTTTGCCCCAGAGTATGAGTTGAACTGGGAAGTCTCTGAAGCATTTTGGATCAAGGCAGATAGTTTCTAAAGTGCCAGATCAGTGTCCAAACTGTTATAAAGCAAGCATTTCGCCCTAGCTGTCTTGCAATACATGAAGCTGCTAACTACAGCAGAACCAGGATCTTATACTGGGACCTTACAATCCAAGAACCTTCTGCTCCAGGGCAGGAATCTAAGCAACAGGCTTAAAAACTAAAGCAGTCTTTCTATTCTTCATCCATCTTTAATAAATGGGGCAAGGGAAATCCCATACATCGAATAGGCACCAGTCATGAATTATTGAACGTACTAATATAACATATGAATGCTCTATAACTTGCATTGGATTATTTGCAGTGGGGGCTTTTTATATAAAGAAAACAGAAAAAGAAAATGGCTGTTTAGTACTGGTATTATAAGAGTCTGCTAGCCTCGTTATTATCATAGGCTTTCATTAGAAATCCTTTATATCTGTAAACAGTACCATTAAAATAATTGTCCTTTAATTCACATTTATTTATTTTTTATTAGCTTACCTCTCAGCTCTAGCAATAAATAGAATGCAATTGTCAGATGCTGCTTCAAACTGTCTTAAAAGATGTCAATTTCCACAGTAGTACAAGGAACAGATTATATAGGCAGGAGGAGGAATCAATGACTCAGCACTCAGGAGACACATCCCTGCTTGTTATTTCTGCTAAATCATCTGTTTCCTTCCCTTATGGGCAATACTTGCCAGGGTATGCAGATATACTTAAGGTGATGGCAATTCGGATTGCTAGGGGAGGAAATTTGAGGATAAAGTTAATTTGATATTGCTGATTTACACAAGTGGGGGGCTTTATGGGAGTGGGGGGTGCTCTCTGCATAATCAACTTATTTCCTCTCCTTTTGTAGTGCCATGTGTTAAAACTTGATGTAAAATCAGTAGAAGCCAGGCGTGTGGTGTGGATTCTGAAGTCTGAGATTAAAGTGGATAATTTGCTTGCAGCAGCTGTAGCCTCAAGAAGCAAAACAAGAATAAAGAACCCCCACCCCACAAGGGGGAAAAACCCCAGCAGGATCTGAGCAATGTGCCCATATGAAAAAAGGCACTTTAAGAAAGATGCTGTTTAATTTTTTTAATTTTTTTTTACACATTTAATACAAGCAAGGCTGTTTCATTTACATCCAGCCACTGATTTCAGAATAGGGGATTAGTGGTATCTTCAACAGATGTTTCTAATAAACTTCCTGAATATGATTTTCTCCCTACAGGGATTAGAGGGACATAGAGGAGTCATTAGTTGTGAAATGGATTTGTCTGGATTACCATGTATTGTATTTAATAAAAAATAAAAAAAACCCACAGCTATTTTGCACCAGTCTGAATAAGGCATTCCATTTTGTGCTCTAAAGGAATTTACATTGTCTGTAGATTTGCAAAAATATGACTAGAGCAAAATTTCAATCTGTTTCTCTCTGTGTGCCATTTTAATATTCATTTCCTCAGCAAAAAGGTTGTTTGAAAGACTGCAAAGGTATTTTATAATGGGTGAACATTTGAATGCTTCAGCTCCTGGTGCTTAAATTCTTGTATCAAAGGCATGAGGCTCTAATGACCTGGAAACTCACTGCTCCAACCAATGCCAAAGGGCCACATCCAACCATCACTAATGTTGAGGGTGAGGTAAGAAAGGAAGATCACACCCTGTCCTAATTGGGTACCCTTCCACATCTTTTCTACTCTGTTGCTCTAAGGTCATACAGTCGTACCTTGGTTCTTGAACAGAATCCATTCTGGAAGTCCGTTCAACTTCCGAAAACATTTGAAAACCAAGACGCGGCTTCCAATTGGCTGCAGGAGCTTCCTGCACTCAATCGGAATCCGCGGATGCTGCATCAGATGTTCAGGTTCCAAAGAACGTTTGCAAACCAGAACACTCACTTCTTGGTTTGCAGCATTCGGGAGCCTTCAAGTCATAAGGCATTCGAGAACCAAGGTACAACTGTATTGAGTTCAGTAGGATTTACTTCTGAGTTAACACTGTAAGATTTGGGAATCTGTGTTTCTTATGCACCAGATCATATAAATAGACAAAAGGGCAGGGAATTTACTTGGGTATTTTCTTTTGCCAGTATTATCAGCACCACCACTGCCTCCATTTGCCAGATCCATTTGGACCTGAATACCCCTTGTGAAAAGCACCCATTGGCCTTCTGAAATCCTTTCATTTGTCATAACAGCTCCTCCACCCTGTAATCCTTCTCCTCTTCCTCCTCCTCCTGTTTATTTATTTATTTATACCACACCCATCTGGCTGGGTTTCCCCAGCCACTCTGGGCGGCTCCCAGCAGAATATTAAAAGTAGAATCAAACATTTGAAAACTTCCCTAAACAGGGCTGCCTTCAGATATCTTCTAAAAGTCAGATAGTTGTTTATTTCCTTGACATCTGATGGGAGGGCGTTCCACAGGGTGGGCGCCACCACCAAGAAGGCCCTCTACCAACCTAAACATCACCACCATGCTTCTCCTTTGGTCACAAGATACCAATGTCGTTCATGCTATGACCCTAATCCCTTGGCTGTGAAAGCTGGTAAATTGAAAATTTCACAGTCCATTCTGTTCTGTCCCAGTGTGGTGCAACTCCATCCTGCTATATTCACCACTCTCTTTGATACCTGCACTGTTAAGCGAAAAGGAAATGGTGGGGAAGTCTGGTGCTACAGAATGCAGTAGCACAGTAGCTCTTTGCTTGCTGGAGCCTTTTGGAGAAGCCACACAGCCTGGTGTGGCCTTTCCAGAGGTTGCCTCAGGCTGCGCAGCACCGGGAGATGCCATACGGACTGGCACAGCCTAGGAGGAAGTTGCCCAACCCGCACAACATCAGGCGACACCATGCGGCCTGACGCAGCCTGGGTAGAGGTTGCCCCAGGCAGCACAGCATCACACAGGCACCACACAGACACTCCAGAGGTCTGCAACAGTCACTGGACAGGTCTGGCCCAATACATTTTGGCACCTGAAGTCAACCCCAAAATGGTGTTCCCTTCCACACAAGGGCAGAAGGGGTGAGGGAAGATCTACATCAGGAACAAGGGGGAAAGAAACGTTGACACTGGGCAGAGGCGGGGCAAGGTGGGTGCAGCGGGTGCGGCGTGCTCTGGGTGCCATCCTGATGGGGGTGACGTTCCGCCCCCTCCCCATGACTCCCAAGCCTACAGCGCCACCGGCAAAGTTGTGAAGGAGCTGCTGCACGCCGCTTTGCAGCTCCCTCCTTTTCCTGGCTCGCTGTAGGCTTGGGAGTCAAGGGCGGGGGGGGTGCCCCCACCTGCGATGACTCCCAAGGCAACCCTAACCACTAGCAATCGGCTGCATGCAGCTTTGCAGCTCCAGATGTCTCAGAGCTGCAGCCACAAGCAGAGGATCCCACCGCCATCCATACAGCACTCTAGCGGTGCTGTCGGCAAACCACCTGGTGGCACGTGTGCATGCTTCGTACGTAGTGGCACCGTGCATGAGCTGTACATACGGTGCATGTGCATGCACCGCCAGGTGGTTTGCCCCACCCCCAACACCCTGTGCCGGGTGCCAGTTAGCCTTCCTTCACCCCTGGCACTGGGAACTGCTGCTCCTGTGTCGCCTCATCTTGCCTCATGTGTGGGCAAGTGCTGATGCAGGGATTAACAGTAGCATTTTCAAGCAGTTTGGAGCTTAGGGCTAAACAACACTGACATAACATACTGTTTGGTCAACAGATGTTGATGTTGTAGCTACTAATAGCAGTTTAAATTACTATGTGTTACATGTGTTACTCCACAGCTCCAATGTGTTTCAGGCCAAAATGTTTTCTCGTGAAAAACTGGCGAGAGATTTTCCATCAGCAATTTAAAAATTGACCAGATAGTGAGAAGAGACAAAGTAAAATACAGTTTTATTTGGTTTTGCTCAGGTGTAGAACTCAGCAGTATGCTATTCAGCAAATATTGTAATTCAATCGGGGAGGTGAAAGATGTGAGACAAAAGACATTCGAGTCGGCTAATAAATGTGGGAAATTGCTAGCTTGGCAAATGAAAAAAAGACAAAAATTAAATACAGTTACAAATTTAGAAGTGGAAGGAAGGAATATACAGAACCCAGCTGAGATTAGAAATTGTTTCCAGAGGTACTTTAAACAACTATATACACAAGGGCCACAGAAAGAAATTGACGTAGACCGATTTTTGAAAACAAATGGATTACAAAAAATCTCTCAAGAAAATAAATTAATGTTGAACTATAAAATAACTGAACAGGAGATAGAAGGTGTCATTCAGAATATGCAACTGGGTAAATCTCCAGGACCGGATGGACTGACTTCTAGATACTACAGATCTTTAAAAGAATGGTTAGTACAACCTTTGAAAGAGGTCTGCAATGAAATAATGGAGGGGAAAAGGGCACCAGAGTCATGGAAAGAAGCGTATATCACACTGGTACCGAAAACAGAGACTGAAAAGACGCAGCTTAAGAACTACCGCTCCATATCACTGCTCAATGTGGATTACAAAATTTTTGCAGATATCTTGGCTAAAAGACTAAAAAGAGTGTTAGTGGAAGAGATACATAAAGACCAAGCAGGCTTTCTCCCAGGTAGACATTTATCTGACAATGTGAGAAACATAATAAATATTTTAGAAAAATTACAAGTGAATATAAATACTAAGGCAGTTTTAATATTTGTGGACGCGGAGAAAGCTTTTGACAACATTTCTTGGAGCTTTATGAAGAAGAACCTACAGGGGATGGGGGTAGGCCAAGGCTTTGAAAACGGTATAAGTGCAATATATTCTGAACAAAAGGCTAAATTAATTGTAAATAATGTGGTGACGGAAGAATTTAAGATAGAAAAAGGGACACGACAAGGTTGCCCAATCTCCCCATTGCTTTTTATATCGGTCCTGGAGGTTTTGCTGAATATGATTAGAAGGGACCAGTTGGTTAAAGGTATACAGGTCGGAACCAAACAGTACAAATTGAGAGCATTTGCAGATGACTTAGTATTAAAGTTATAGCATATTAAGTTAAAGAATCATGAGAAAACAAAGAGGGAAAGAAATTGCTGACTTAACTAATTGAACTGGAATACAAAAAAGGGAGGTATGAGGAGGTCAGGGAAACAAGGATATGAATGTAAGTTATGGAAAGATTGATCCATTTTTCTTTTTCTTTTTTTTCTTTTTAAGTGTCTTTTATTCTTTTTTCTGTATTTTGTATTTTATATTTTCTTGTATTTTTATTTTTTAATTCTTGTATTCTCTGAAAATTTAATAAATATCATTTTTTAAAAAAAAGAAAGATGCAATACAATGGGACCTGTTTATTCATTCAACCCAAAAGAAGTATCTTGAAGTGGGAATTTCAAACATTCCCAGCAAGCTGTATAGTTACCAGGGCAAGAATTACTCTAGAGAAATATAAAGGTATGGCAAATGGTCTTGGAGGAATCATGAAATCTGAGTGCTTTTCTTGGAGACAATTTGCAAGATATAACAGCAAAATTCACTGAATAAATTGCTATATATTTTTGGTGATTATTAAGGCATTACAATTATTTATTTTAATTTATTACAAGATGTCTAGGCCAGTCTTTCCCAGCACAATAGCCTTCACAAGGCAATGCACATAATCTAGAGTAAAGCAAAACATATGCCATCATCAAATTTCACCCAACAAATGGCACAAATTTATCCAAGCAACACCGTTAATAAAATGCAGACCGAAATTAAAATGTATTTTTTAAAAACAAAAAAACCCTGCTTGTGAGTTGCATTAATTTCCAGTGGGAGGGAGTTCTGTAGGTGTGGGGATACCATTTTAAAAAGCCCTTCCTTGGTATCCATCAGTCTAGCATATCTCATAAAAACATACAGGGGCAGAACAGGACTTCACGTGGCCCATTAACAGCTATAGAATTAGCTTCAGTTTATCTCCCATGAAAGCAGTGGATGTAATTTAACCGCCTCCTGAAATATTGGTTCCTTCAATGGAGTGTAGCTTGACATGAAAATAAGCTGCTTTGAAACCTGACGGCGCCTTCTATGAAAGCAAGCTAT